TAGAATAGCCCTCCGGTGCTGAGAGGGGGGGTGAGGTGGGGGCCGAATCGTACTGATTTAGGCCAGTGGGTGAGGAAGTGTTTGATCCAGGAGCAGGTAACGGGGGATAGTTTGGTGGTGAGGATGTCTGGGATTATGGTCCTGAACACTGAGCTGCAGTCCACACAGAGCATCGTCACAGAGCTCCTCATGTTCTCCACATGGCTCAGCGCTCTGTGAAAGGTGACGGTGATGGCATCCTCCTCCATGGCGGGGGTTGAGGGAGGGGGGTAGACAGTCTCTCACGTGCTGAGCACTATCTGCTCGAAGCACTTCATGACTACAGACGTCTGTAGTCATTGAGGCTGTCTATGCTGGCTTTTTGGGGATGGGGATGATGTGGAGGCCTTCAGCCAGGTGGGAACCCTGAGTCAGGGAGATGTTGAACAGCCCAGTGAGGATCACGGCCAGCTGGTCTGTGCAGGCTTTAACCAGTCCCTGGGATGCTGTCGAGACCGGCAGTTTGCCTGGTGTTCACCGTTCTCAGTCTCCTCCTGACCTCATGTTCTTGGCTGGTCCAGGAGGCACCAGGACCACCTGATCAGAGAGGATACGGTTTACCCCACACTGAATGGTAAATGGCCTGCATTTGTACAGCGCTTTACTCAGTCCCTAAGGACCCCAAAGCGCTTCACACATTCAGTCATCCACCCATTCACATACTGGTGATGAAGCTACATTGTAGCCACAGCTGCCCTGGGCCGCACTGACAGAGGCGAGGCTGCCGGACACTGACCTCTGACCTCCACCAGTAGGCAACTGGTCCAAGCTCTCAGGGTCTGATCGCTCACAGGGTGTCAGGCTGGACTCTGAGTTAAAGATCACATGTCTCAGTCCTCCCCAGACTTCACATGTCTGACAGAGTTCAGCATCCTGTGCTGACTCACTGTCATACTGGCAGACACACAACATCTTTGCTGTGGTTTCTACACATGATGTCCAAACAGTGTGTGTCTTCTGTGCGTCCACACGGGGACAGGAAGTGGGAAGTCATTCATGTGTGCAACAGTCACTAGAAGTCACTGGAGGGCAGGAGGAAGACTTCATATTTACATTTCTGATTTTGTTTCAGTCAGTTTGTAGAGGGGTTCCTCTCTGAGCTTAGTTACTATTCGCTTTGTTATTATTTATTATAATGTGAGTGGCCTTCATCAGCCAGACGGATGAGAGGCTCTGAGATGATATTTCAGCACAAACACACAAAACTTTCATTGATGTCATCCAGGTCTCAGGAAACAAAGCCACTGATGGCTCCTCTGGCTCCTCGTCCTGAAGAACTCATGAATGATCAGCTCTGAATGACAGCTCAAACATCTGAAACCGGTCGAGTTCAGCTGCTTCTTGAATGACCTTAAAGAAGAGAGAGAGAGAGCGCAGCCATAATGTTGTTCGACATGTACGATCACAGTAAACAGCTCTTCTTCTGTTCTAGAGCTCATAACATGAAATAATAACCACCATTTCACTGTTTGTCACACTGAAACCTGACTGCCACACACACACACACACACACACACACACACACACACCCTAACCATCAAAAATGAATCCTAATCCTAACCCAACCCAACTGTAACCCAGAGTTACAGTTAATATTATTATTATTATTATTATCATTATATTATCATTATTATTATTATTATTATTATTATCATCATTATTTTTATTATTATTATTATCATTATTACTATATTATTATTATTATTATTAACTGTAACCCTGACACTAAAACCACATTTTGAGCCTCAAAAATGTCTCCAAACTCGTGAGGTCGGGCACTTTGTCCCTATAAGTGACGTTTGGTCACGCTGGTGTAGTAGCGTGCTAACTTTCTGTCCTCACAAAGATGTCGAAACATGTACACACACGACACAATATTTAAAGTTTGAGGAATTAACGTATTCCCCCCCCGCACCCAATATAAACCCACTCGTGTTTAGAAACACGTTATTAAAATTACAAAATAAGAAATGTAGCGTGATACAAAGAGACAAAAGAGGACAGTAGTGTCTGAATATATGACACACAGCAGTAAATACTAAACATTTATATAAAGGAAACACAAAAACACGATTATTACACCAGAAACAAACACACAAAATACAAGCTAAGGTTTGCGCACGCGCCCTTGCGGTTTGGCGCGCACGAGCCTGGCACGATATGTAAATCAAGTTCACCAAAATAAGAAAAACCCCCACTTTTTACCTTTCAAAATAAACCGCAGGTTTCCTTTTGATTTCACCATAAATCAATAAATTCAAAAATAATATTTTAAGAAGTTGTAAAAGTTATACGAATAAAAGTTTGTAAACAGCACCTTTCATTAAGGATGGACTGCCGCTGCTGCTAACGTTAAGGAACGTGTATT